AGCCTGGCAACCATAGTGAGGGAGGGCTGGAGGAGGAAGAGCAGAAGGTGGGAAGGAAGCCAGAAGTAGGACTGCAGCCACCGAGGATTCGGGGAGAGGGAGGCCCTGATTCCTTTGTGAAGAAGGTTGCTGGGCAGTCCGGCCGTTCCTCAAGTGGCACTGTTGCCTTTTGACTTGACAACAGGGAGGGGATCTCAGGCCAGAGCATTTTGGAGAAGGGTGAGGGGGGAACCAGGATGGAAGGTGAGAAAGTGGAGATGGGACAGGTGACTTGGTGGTGAGAGGAGGAGAGACAGGAGCAGGTTCTGGAGGAGAAAAATGAGGACAGAGGGGTGTGTGTGTGTGCAGGGAACACTTGAAACCACTTACGTGTTGAAAGGAAGAACCCTAAAGGAGTTGAAGCTAACAGTATGAATGAGGGGAGAATGGGGCTTTAATCTAGAAATGTCTATACGAAATGCCATCAACTAGAAAAAAATACATCACACATAACGAATGTGACTTTGTGAGACTTACGCTTTAGTAAAAAGATACTGAGGCAAAAAAAAAAAACAACTGTTGCCAGGCTTTTGAGACTTGTCTGTTGATGAATGGTGGAATCACAAGGACACCCCCAGGTGAATCTTACGGCAGACTCAAGCCTGGTGACTTGAATGCAGCGCGTCCCCTAGTCCTCTCAGGAGCCCGCCAAGCACGGAGCATGATTCTCTTTCTGCACAAAAGAAAACTAAGCCTTAAACTAACGCCCAGGCAGGAAAACCAAATTTGCCTATGGGCTCGCAGCTGGCAAGTAAGTGGAGGAACCAGCATCCAGGCCCGGCACTGCCTGGCTCCAGAGCCCAGTTCTGTCCTGTAAAAGTGAAGTGACTCAGTCATCCTAACCCCCAACGGCATCTGAATGCTGTCGATCTTCAGACACTGGCAAGATCGACGAGGCAGCTTTCAGCACTGTAGTTCCCGTTCTCTCCCATCCATTTGAAGCAAATTTCAATAAAACAGTAGAATTTAGGGTTCTCAAAATGGTAGGCTGGCTTTTCATGTCAAGACGTCATGGTCAGGTATGATGCATGCCTGTAATCCCAGCTATGCAAGAGGAGAAGGTAAAGAGGATCACAGTCCAAAGTCAGCTCCAAGCAAAAACACAAGATTCTGCCAGAAAAATAACCAAAGCATAAAAAAAGGCCTGCGGCATGGCTCAAGTGGTAGAGCACCTGCCTAGCAAGCATGAGGCCCTGAGTTCAAACCCCAGTACTGCCCAAAAAAAGATATACATGTCAAAGTTGTACATGTGTTATGTTTGTACGTGCATAAGTATGTGTACACTGAGGACCATACCTAGGTTTGAGGACCTAAACCTTACAGTTTGGGCATTGCAGTAATTTCCAGAACTCCCCCTAGGGTCCTGTGCAAGGAAGGGTCCTGCAGCTCAGCAACTTCATGAAATCCTCCTCTGCACAGCCCGTGCAGCAGGCTGTGTGGACTTGTGAAGGTGTGCATGGGAACCAGCGGGAGCGACTGGCCCTAGACCAGAGGCCAGGCTCCATTGCTTAGTAAAGCACCGATTAGTCCTGTTCATTTCTTTTCAGGAAGGCAGACATTTATCAAGAACCAAATGGGCCGGGCGCCCGTGGTTCACGCCTATAATCCTAGCTACTTAGTAGGTAGAGATCAGGAAGATTGTGGTTCAAAGCCAGCCTAGGCAAATAGTTCTGTGTTTCCCTACCTTAAAAAACCCTGCACAAAAATAGGGCTGGTGGAGTGGCTCAGGGTGAAGGCCCTGAGTTCAAGTCCCAGTACCGCAAAAACAAAACAAAACAAACAACAAAAAATGGGCTAAGCATTTTTTTTAATATGTCTTTAAATTTCATTTAAGCCAATGGTCAAAAACAGCATGTTGGCTCAGTAGGCAAATAAATATTACTTCTTTTTAAATGTCTTCTCTATTCCAGAGATCCTCTGGTTAGTACTATTCTATCACCTGTGTAGTTTAGAGGATTTGAAAAATAGAACAGAGAAGTGGGCCTGGAGGAGGGTAGAAAGGCCAGCTTCATTTCCTCAGAAACCTGTTGGAGACAAGACGCGTTTTGTGTCCTCCAGAGGCTAAGAGTAAGAACTGAGGTGTAGAGGTTGCAAGGGACCCAGATCCCAGCTCAACAGAACTTTCTTCCAACAGAGCTGTCCAAAAATGACTCGCTTATGCCATGGCCATCTGCCCATCACAGAACACACACAGCCAAACCTAATTATTGGTGGGGGAAGAGGAGCTGGGGTCCCCTAGGGAGCAGAAGTTCGAATCAATCTAAGAAACATCTAAGATGGGCTTGGTGGTGCACATCTGTAATCCTAGCACCTAGGGGGCAGAGGCAGGAAGGAGGATCATGAGTTCGAGGCAGGGCCGAGTTCATTGTCATTTCTTGGATCACCTCACTGAACTCTCGCAGAAATGTGGCATAGATGCCTTTCATGTGGCCATTTTCTGAGGGAACAGAGGCCTGCTGAAGTTAGGAAATAAATCTCAGGAGGCGTCAGCCTGACTCACAGGGACAGAGCTACCCTGCTTTAAGGCAGCGTACATAGAACATGGGAGAGAAAGTGCCTCCTCTCCAGCCTCGGTGCCACCTCCCCTGCTTCAGGTGCCACCCAGCAGTTCCCTCGTGGAGCATCTGCTAGAGGTGCTGTGATCCACCTTCGGCAGAGAAGTCTGGGGACTTCAAGGTGACCTGGTGCTCAGGCCGGTCACACCTCAGCTGCTAGGCTGCTGGCACAGCGTTGAGCACCCTCAGATACTAAATTTATATTTCCTGGCCTCCCCTTCCAAACTGAATGCACTAATTACGGACCACGGTTTTTTTAGTGATAGTAATCACCAAGAACACATTTTTAAATGTTGTATTCTGCATACAGCTGAAATAAAACAGCATCAAACCCAGCAAGCATAAGGCCATGTAAATTAGGAAGGTTCAGAGACATTAGACTCAACCAAAAAAAAAAAAAAAAAAGTGTTGATTAGGGACTTATTTTTGTATGAGATTAAAATACGAATCATTAAAATAGGACTGTATTTCAGGCTCCATCCCCACCATCACAGCCATCACCATGGCTACTAGGCTTGGACTCCAGGAGTGCAGAAGCTTTCCCCAGCTCTGGAACATGGTCCTGTGTTCAGATTCTACCTTCTCTGTGACTTTCTCTGCTTCTTCCTAAGTGCCTCTTTTTTCATGAGACTCCCAAGAGATGTGTTGTTCAAAGTCTTTACTTAACCATAATTGTAAGAAGTGGCAGTAATTACACTACTAGCAAGCAAAAATCAAAGGTGCAGGAAGGAACAAAGAAAAAGCAAGGTCACCAGGTTCCTCAGGAGAGGGTAGTCAGGGGACTTCATTTGGGACAGACTGTACAGAATGAAATCGGTGTGGACAGTGTCTCAGGTTCAGGCTGAGTTTGGAGAAAAAATAGCAATATCTTTAGCCCAAAATATGCAGCTAAATAAAGTTGTTACTTCAAGTATCTGTTAATACCGGCTAAAAATAGACACAAAAGCCCATTGTTTGGTACAATTGCCACCATGTGGGGAAGGCCTCGGGGACATCACCCACCCTTATAAGAGGCTTGAATTTATATTTTGAACTTGGATCAAAGCCAAAGGGGCAGTACCAGACCCTGACAGACTTTCTGCTAACACTGGACACTCCAAATACCAACTGCATCAGAACAGACGCCCTGTACCCCAGCCAGGGGGCTTACAGCTCTAGCATTAGGTGACCTTGAACTGATGCTTTTATGTGTTTTTAAAAGGAAAACATCCCAGAAATGCCAGTCCCTTTCAGAGCTTCAAGAGTTAGCACCTATGGTGGACTCAGAGGGTTTTTCCACTTGTAAAATAGTTTTTTTCATAGGAAAAAAATTTATGAAGAATCTACGAGTTATCTTAGGGACATGAGAGATTTTCACACCTAATGGTTTCATAATTCTTTGAATAATACGAAGTGCAGAAGGGATGTTTTCACAAAAATAACAGGTGTAAGCTGGTATAATTTGAATATCCTCTAAAGTCGGGGGTATCCCTCTGATGGGCTGTCATTAGGCAGATGCTGAAAAGTTCCGTACCGTGGCGGCATCTTCCAAACCAAATGCACAGTGGAGAAAGATGGCTCTAGCTTCAGACCACCAGTGGTGTTTGCACAGCTTCTGTCTCTTAGTGATGGGATCATAGGTTGATTTTGCATATTAATTTCTTATCTTTTTCTTTCTTTTCTTTTCTCTGGCAGCACTGGGGTTTGAACTCAGGGCCTTGCTAGCCAAGCAGTCTACCACTCGAGCCACATCCACAGCACTTTTTGCCTAGGTTATTTTTCAGATGGGGTCTCCAGTTTTTGCCCTGGGGGACCTTAGATTTCGATCTTCCTACCTGTACCTCCAGCATAGCTGGGCTTGCAGGCGTATACCACCATGCCTAGCTTTGGTGTGTGTAGGGGGGTATGGAGGTATTGGGGTTTGAACTCGGGGCCTCACAGTTGTTAAGCAGGTGCTCTACCACTTGAGCCAAGTCCCTACCCCACACCTAGCTTATTGATTGAAATGGAGTTTCTCGAACATTATGCCCAGGCTGGCCTCTAACTTCAATCCTCCTTCTTCCACCTCCTGCTTAGGTAGGATTACAGGCATGCACCACCACACCTGGCTGGTAGAAATGAGGTCTGCTAACTTTTAGCCCAGGCTGGCCTCAAACTTCAATCCTCCTGATCTCTGCCTCCAAAACAGCTGGGATTACAGGCATAAACCAGCAGACCTGACCTAAATGTTCACTTTCATAATCAAAAGAGTTTGATTTAAAAAATCAGTGGCCGTGGTGTGTTGAATTTCAGAGCTCTGCACCCTGTCCCCGTGAGGATCAGCATCCAGTGGTTTAGCTCACAGTGCCAGGCACAGAGCCGCAGCTCAGCCAGCAACTGTTGGATGCAGCACCCCCTCCTCTACGTCCTGTTCCCTTGTCTTTCCAGGGGACGTGCTCTATGAACTCCTTCAGCATATCCTGAAGCAGAGGAAACCACGGATTCTTTTCTCACCATTCTTCCACCCTGGAAACTCCATCCACACACAGCCGGAGGTCCTGCTACATCAGAACCACGAGGAAGGTACTGGAAAAGGCTTCTCCCTGGCCTGAGGTTTACACTAACTCAGAGGGTTTGATAAGATGTTCTTATTCCTGTGGATTTGTTATTCATTCAACAAACAGGTATTGAGGGCCTGTCATATATAAGACACGGGGGAGGGATTATCTAGAGGCTCACACCATAAGGGAAGCAGTGAGGTGGAGAATGTAAGTATAGAAAGCTAATTACAATAGTGGGTGCCATGGAGGCACAGAGTGGGAGGGGCTTACCCCAGTACAGGAAGAAGGGCTGGTTTCCTAAAGGAGGGGGGTTCTTTGGAAGGTCCAGTGGGCTCTTAATAAGCAGTGACAAAATGTAGCTATTCCAAGCAGAGAAAATGACCTGTAGGGGGATCAGGGAAGACCTTGGGATAGAGAGAGTTGGTTTCTTCAGCTTAGTTGCCCCCCACACCCTATCATTATGGAAATTTCAAACATATATATGCCAAGCACACCAATGAGCCCTGTGAGCCCTCGGTCACCTGTTTCACCAATGATGAGTACTTTGCCACTGCAGAACTGGTTCAAGGAGGTTAGGTCAGAACCAGAGTGGGAACTGTGACTTCTCAGCTAAGGAGGAAATAATGGGGAGCCATTGAAGGTGCGTGAGCAGGGGATGATCAAAGCTGGGAAGGAACAACCTGGTGTTGGTTCTGGGCTTTCTTCATCATGAGCCAACGGATGTTTTCTGGTGTGTGCTCAGAGTCACGGCTCTGTTCAGATGTCGCAGTGACTGTCCATGTAGTGATTCAGAGGAGTCGCCAAAGCGTCGGGAGACAAGCCAAGACCAGAACTGAAATGGGGCCCTGGACGTAGTTTGGGAGCAGTGTTTGGGTACAGTGTAGGGTAGGAAATGTTACACTGACAGCTGAGGACGTAGCAGCATTCAGGGCTGAATCCTGCCTCCGAGGGCCGTCATGTCCACACCATCTGCCAGGTTAATCAGACAACATGCAAACACACAGTGGGACTGGCATGCACTTTCCAGGTTACTAGGGGTCGAGGCCCCCATCCCATGGAGAATTTCCTTAAATTAGTTGATCAACTACAAGAGCACAGCTAGTTAGTATATTTGTTTTGTTGACCAGTTGAAAAATAAGAAGTTTTGTGCTTTTTTTTTTTGTTTTTGTTTGTACTGGGTTTGAACTCAGGGCTTTGCGCTTGCTAGGCAGGAGTTCTGTCACTTAAGTCACGACTCCAGCCCTTTTTTGCTCTGGTTATTTTGAACATAAGGTCTTGCTTTTTGCCCAGGTCAATCTGGACCACAGACCTCCTATTTTATGCTTCCCACCACAGCTGGGATGACAGGCACAAGCCACCACACCCATCTGTTGAGATGGGGTCTTGCGAACTTTTTTGCATGGGCTGCTCTGGAACCACATCCTCCTGATGTCAACCTCCCACATACCTGGGGTGACAGGTTCACGTCACTGCACCCAGCTGTTGGGTGAGATGGGATCTCTCAGGCTTTTTGCCAACGCTGGCCTCGAACCACAGCCTTCCCAGTCGCAGCCTCCCAGGTATCTAGGATTACAGACGTGAGCCACTTGGCACCTAGCACTTCACAAAAGAGAGCCTGATCCAAGTGACCACATGGCCGCCTGAGACCAGGCATTTCACAGCAGGTCCTCCCGCTTCCATGATGGAGAAGCATTTCTGGAATGTTCCCTGCCTCCTCCTCTCATCCTTTCCTCCCTGGCTTTGCCCTTGCTAAATTTAGCAGCTGTCCCCCTCCCCCAGTTCGGGTTTTATATTCTTTTGCTCTTCCTGCCTGTTCATTTCTGGCTTACATAATAGCAACGGCCACTCCAGAGAAGAGGAGGTGGGGAGACTGAGTCTGATGTGACAGTGAGGCCAGAATTATATACCCTACCCCTGTCCTCACACACAAACAGTGTGTGATGGGTAACCCCCCCCGACACACCTTCTATTATTATTATTCCAAAAAAATCCCATTTGGAATTTTGATCCCCACTTATTTCTGAACGTGACTGGAGGCGCGAGGTCTCACCTCTCCCCAGTCCTTCCTCCTCTCTCCTGGACCTGATGTGACTCCTGAGTAGGTGTGTGTGCTGTTCTCTAGAGAGAGCAGGCTTACTCCGAAATCTGCTGAGTAAATACAGGTGTTCCACTGTCATGAGCTGTTGCCCAAATGCTAGGATGTCGGTGTGAGCTCAGTAAGTGGGAGAATGCGGTCAAGGCCAAGGACTTCATCACCCTGCAGACAGGTAACTGTGCCTCAGATCCAGCTCTTAAAGCCCCCAGCGTGTTCTCAGAGGCCACTGCTTAAAGCTGATGGCCAAGAAGCAAGATCCGAGGGCTCCTTCTCTGTCCCTGTCTGTGTGGACTCAGTGCATGCTCTCAGCTGGACAGGTGGACACAGGTAGGAGACCAGGTCCCTACCACGTGGCATCAAATGGGAAGAGCCAGAGGCCCAGAGATGGTTTGCAGAAGCTGCTGCTTCCCCAGACTTTCAGATCTGGGTGCTGGAGGAGAGAGGGGAATGGGTCAGGTCTCCATCTCCAACCACCTCCAGCCTCATTCCTTCCTGCTTCTCCAGAAAGACTAAAAGCTAGCTCAGCAAGTATTGTCTCCAACCTGTGCTGTTACATTTGGTTGTGAAGGACCTGAGGGGACCAGCATGGGCATGCATGAGCATGTGGAAAGAGCTGGTCCTGAGCAAAGCAGACTGCAAGGGGAAATGAGACTCAAACATCACTTCCTTGATGATTAATTTTTCATAATCAGGGATTAGTGTAAAAGTGTGCTGCCCCAAGACTACTGATGTTGCTATTGACTTCTGTTGCTATTGGCTCAGATATAAACGTATGTATGTGTGCATATCTACACAAACATGTATTTGTTGTGTATATGGATAGGTAGGTAGATAGATAGATAGATGGATAGATAGACAAACAGACTCAACCTGAGTATCCTGTACCCGAAATGCTTGGAACTGGGAGTGTTTCCCTTTCAGATTTTGTCATATTTGCATGTATATCAGGAGATATCTTGAAGCTAGAACCTGAGATGAAGCATGAAATCCATTTATGCCTCACGTATACTTTACAGCCATGGCCTGAAGATACTTCTGTAGGCTACTTTGTAAGATCTGGTTTCCTACAATTCACCAAAGTGGCAGTGTTTTCACTGTGATCCGTCACAGGTCAGGTGTAGAATTTTCCACTCGTGACATCATGTCGCCATTCACATGGCTTCAGACCTGGATTCAGGATGCTCAGTCTGTGTATGAGTGACAGGATGGGGGCACAAGAGTGTCCACTCCAGAGAGGACCTGACTTACCCCTCCGCAGCCTGGAGCACGGAGGTGTGCAGCGTGAGGTGTGAACATAGGCCTCATTCAGCCCTGGGAGTTCATCTCATCCCAGCCACCAACAGATCCAATCCAGGCATTCATGATTTTACAATGGCAGTTGATATCTAGCAGCAGTTTCCCACAGTTATCCAGTGTGAGTCCATTACACTGGAGTGTCACCTTCCTTCCTAGCCATGACATGGCAGTGCCAGGAGTGAGGAGGCTGGGCTGGCGCAGAGCTTCCCCTCCTGCCTGGGAAGGAGGGTGGCTGGCCCTCCAATTGGAACCCTTTGTTTTGTAAACACTCGTTATCTCTATAACACACTCTGTTCTGAAATCCTATCAGGCCCTGAGCAAAGCGGTCATCAGATTACCATTACTGACATATGGGAAAGGTTTCCATTCTCTTCCCTGATTGGTTATGGGAGAGAATGGTGCTGCTAGGTAATCAGGTTAGCCATACAATAACCATCCAAACAGATACGCTCAGGACAGACACACAGGGCTCCGTTCCCAAGTAGGCCAGGGCAACAGGCGCTAACTGGCACCATCCTGACAAACTGGTAGTCAGGAAACCAGGTTCTAATCTTCCATTCTGCCAGAACCAATCAAGTAGCTGTTTTTCAGGCCGCTGTAAGATGCAGGGGTTAGACTAAATGGTTCTAAGCTCTCTTAACAGCTCCAGGATCCTAGTATGATATTGGAGAGAGATACAAAGATGAGTAAAACACATTCTTTACCCTCAGGGTCTCAGACAACTAAAATGTAGCAAACACAGAAGGTGTCCATGCTGCCCAGAGACTGTAGAAAACCTCAGCTGTTCCCATTTACCTCTCCATATCGGAACTTCTGATAGGCTCAGCGTGGTGGTTCACACCTATAATCCCATCTACTTGGGAGATGGAGATCTGGAGGATCAAGGCCAATTCAGGCAAAAAGTTCATGAGGCCTCCATCTCAACCAATAAAAGCTGGGTGTCATGGGGTGCACCTCTCATCCCAGACATGAGGGAAGCATGAGAGGATGACAGGGCAAGCCAGCCCAGGGCATAAAGTGAGACCCTATCTCAAAAATAACCAAAGCTAAAAGGGCTGAGGGTGTCGCTCCAGTGACAGAACACCTGCCTAGCAAGTGCAAAGCCTAGAATTCAAATCCCAATACAGCAAATAATAATAATAGTAGTAGTAATAATAATTATAATATAGCTTTCAGTTTTCCTTACAGCCAGCACATAGGAATGGCCTGAGAGTAGAGAGCTGTCACATTTTTGTGGGAGACAGGAGGATGGCATGCATTCAGTGATGGCTACCCAGAGTTTTATTTATACGATTTCTTTCTTGAAGGACTAGCGTCCCTCTCACCCCTCACTTCCCCGCCACCCCGCACCAAACCCAAATGGCAAGGACTGTTTTGGAGGGAGGAAGTCTTGTACGATTTTAATGAGAATTAAAGAACATGAGGTACCTTGCTCTGCTGCCTAATAACTAACATTTATTGAGTCCTTGCTGTATGCTGGGCCCATTTTGGCTGTTAAATGTTTAAATCATTTAATCTGCACAGTCACCCTATAAAAAGGAATATTATTAGTCACTTTATAGATGAGGAAATAAAGATTAAAAGCAATAAAGCAGTGCCCCCAGATCAAGTAGCAACACTAAGACTTAAATCCAGGTGGGATTGACTCAAATGCTTTGTTCTGATGCAGCGTGAGCGAACCAACCAAAATAGCATTTTCATAAACTTTTATTGTCCAAGAGCCCTGGAAAGTAGGACGAGTGATCGAGAGATGAGTAGAAGTGGTGGAGATTATGTTGCCAATGCAATTTCCAGGTCACCTGACTGGGACACAGTATGGCAGGTCACTCCTGCTTACAGCACTGCCGGGTGCAAATATAAGAAAATGTTAGAACTTCATAGACCCCAAGTATGTCTTTGGATGAGCCTTTTAGAAGGTTGGTTTTCTCAGAATGAAGGGATTCAAAATCTCCCAGCCTGTGAGACAGATACTGGTGCAGGCAGAAGCGCTGTCTGTCACCCCCATCCCTTGGGGACCGGCACCTCAGCACAGATCACTCTTGGGCAGACAGCCCTTCCTCAGAACTGCTGCAACAGCACCGGACAGAGGAAGTTTTAATCTGCTCAGTGCATGTCCTGTTACTGGCTGTAAAAATCACCCAGGTTCTCTAGTCTTACTGGAGAAGTGTTGATGGATGAAGTGTCAGGGAGGCCACCAGCTAGGGTACAACATCTTTGTCATCCATTTTTGCCACGCAATGCATGATGGAGCCAGAGAGCTTCATGGGACCTGTGTGTGCTCTGGGTCTGTCCTCCTGAATTCAAATCCCAGCTCCTCAGTTTACCAGTGTGTCTTCAGGCAAGTTACTTAACTGCCTCAAGACTCAGTTCCCATGTGCCAAAAAACCAGTGCCTATCTCACAGTGTCAGTATAAGACAGAGATGGTGTGGGATGCCCTTATAGTAACACCTGTCCGGTAGCAAGGGCTCCGAACATGGTCCTCCACTCTGCACAAGCACCGAATCCGTGCATCCCATTCGCCTCCCCTAGAACACCTGCATGGGTACCTGGGCACCCGTACGTGACATTTCTGTGGGCAAAACTGACAGTCTTCATTACTACAGAACATAGCCTGTTTTGAAGTGACCGCTGTTTGCCTTGCCTCCTTCTTCCTGTCACATGGTGGGCATCCCTTTTGGAGCTCTGTTCTCACATGTAAGGACAAGACTGACCCCTTTGCACCCTTTCTTTCTGTACTTCTTAAAGCAGCAGGAAATGAGAGCAGGTCCACATTCCCACTTCCTGTTTCCACTTTCAAGATGAGGAAA